GCGCCAGGGGGGGGGGGGGGGGGGGGCGTGCCGCTTGCGCCGCGGCTGCCAGGTGGCCTTATGCCAGACGAGCTCGGCCTCGCCCTCAGCGCCCCCCCCCCGCGGCGCGCTGGCGCCCCCCCCCCACCGCGCCCCTGCGGCCCGGGATCTCCGACCCGATGCCCTCGAGGGGCATGTGCCAGATGCGCTGCAGGCCCGTCTCGTCCTGGGCCGCTGCGACGCCCCTCATGACGCATTAACGCCGCCACGGTGCACGGGCGCAGCCAGGGAGCGCAGCCGTCTTCGGGGCAGGCTTCGGCTTGTTGAGGACCTCTGTCAAGCAACCGCCTGGGCCCCACTGAAGGAAAGGTGCGCCGGCCAGCGCGGCCAGGTGCTGGCCCTGAGGTCCAGCTGAGCCGCCGACTGGGCCAAACCCGCCAGGCTCTTGGACACGACGAAATAGTCAATGCGCGACCCGCTGCCTTGCCTGCAGAACGGCGCCTCCGCCGCCTTCACCGCCACGCGAGGCTTCGTGACCCAGCCGAAGTCCAGCGCCTGCGGCTCCATGTCCCAGTCCCCCATGACGGCCCAGTGGCGGCGCTCGGCCTCCAGCTGCCGATGGCTCTGCGCCAGCTGCCAGAGGATGCCGAGGTTGTTGGCCGAGAGGCCCTCCCCGTCATGAAGGTAGACGCTCAGGATCACGATCCCCGCTCGCGGGCCAGCGCGGACATGGCCTGCCGCCAGTCTGCCTGGCACGATATCAGGGGGGCCGCGCCCATGGTGGGGCCGTGACCTGGATCGAGGCGGGAGCCAAGACTGCCACGCCACCCACCGAGCCCGAAGACGTCGCAGGCGAAGGGGTGGCGGCACTCCAGGCCCCGTGCCATCCAGCATCCTTGGGGGCCCGATGCTGCATCGCCAAGTCTCTGGCCAGGCGGCGGTGCTCCTGGACGGCGATCGCGAGCGTCGACGCGCCGTCGGCCAACTGGAGGTACTCGCCCAGGGGCCCCCACGATGTCGAGTTGACCGTAGTGAGCAGACAGGTGCCTGTCATCTTCTGGCGGCGAGCAGACGCAAGCAGGGGCGGCCGCGCGGCCATTGTAGCCAGCTGGCCTGGGGCCCGCGGGGGGGCAGCACCATCCCGCGGCAGGGGGGGCGGAGCGAGCGGGGGGCTCGAGCCCCGTGCAAGGCGCGCTGGACAGCGCTCAGTGTACGCTTCCAGGCATTCCAGAGAACCGAGCCCGACGCCAGCCTGGTCGCTCGCGCCCTGGGAGGTGCCGAACGACTACTTCTGCATGTGAGGGAGAGGCTGCGACGACGAAGGGCTGAATCCCTCCACAAATCCCGCGGGGCCGCGCCCTGAGGCCGACGCCCGAGGCTGCCCTTCGGAAGAACCCTCCAGGCCAGCCAAATTTGACATCTCTCCTTCTCTCTCTCTCTCTCTCTCTGTCTTCCCCCCTCCCTTCTATATTTATATATATACATACATACATACATACATACATACATATAGATATGCATATGTATCGCCCCCCTCTCGAGGCCCGCGCCATCGCAACCGACTGCTTCCAACCCAGGCACTTTGCGGCGCTGTCAGACGGGGCCCAAGAGATCCCCTGCAAAGTGTCTGCGCTGATCAAGCTTGCGCAACCTCCCCGCATGGATGCAGGCCCAGATTAGATCGCAGATCCGCAAGCCCAAAAAGGGCTATAGACCCATTGGTTTGCACCAGTCTCTGGGGCGACTGATTCCCACATGGACTGCGGGGGCCCCCTGGCCCTGGGAGCGGACCCTGAACGAGCGCGGCACGTTCAATGTGGCACCACACAAACACTCCTCGGATGGGGCCCGGAGGCAATCGATTTGAGGGGACACGGTACCTCTCGGAGGGGAACGAATCAGGAGCGTCATAGGGGAACATTCGGCAATGCTATGAAAATGTGGAGCATGAAAGACTGGGTTCAGCAGCCGAGTCGTTTGACTTCCTTCTTTTCGTCCTTCAGTTTGCCCTGGCGTCTTGCGCGTGGCCGCGGGTGTTGCCTTTGGCTGGTTAGGCCTCAGCGTGCGTGCACTTTTCCTGGAAGGGCATAGCGGCAGAATCGAGCACAGACACATTCGAGATCCAGTGTCACATACTGCCCGTAGTCTCGACCTTCCCAGCGGACCTGGGCCTTTCCCTGGACATTCACGTTGACGACTTCAGCCTTAATCACAAGGGCCTCAGTATGCCCCAGTTGATCACGAGGATGCGGCAGGCAGTGGCGTATCCAATGGATCGCATGGCCGCGGAGCTCAACCTCCCTTTCGCCATGGACAAATTTGCCACGACTGGGAGCTCAGAGCTGGTCCTCCGTCGCGCGACTACCAGTGAAAGGTGCAGGCCCCGCTGGAGTACAGCCAGCGATGATTAATCTTGGAGTTGACTTTCCGCCAGGTAAGTATGTCTCGTGCCCAGCCCAAGAAGAAGGTCAACATGTTCGTTTGTGGGGCGAAGCCTGGTTTGACCTATGGTGAAGAAATCACAGGATGGCTCCCTGGGGAGATCGAACAGCTACGACGACACGGAGCTGCGGCGCTAGGTCTTTCCTCGGCAGGTGCCAATTCGCAGCTGGCCTGGACCGTGGACCGAGAAAAGGGCCCGCTCAGCCACGCCTCCGCCAGCCTCGCTAGGTATTGCAGAGAACAGTGGATGACCACGAGCGGCGCATGCAGAGCCCACGACAGCCACGCCCCAAAGGAGCTCAGCAGGGCCTGCAACAAGGCCAACAAAAAGGTTTGACAGCCTCCGTCCGAACACCAGCTGGGCCAAGAAGAGCTTCGGAGTTCTCGGGAACATGATCCGCTGGACCCAGAAGGTCTCGTGGGTTTACGTTAATCCTGCGAGATGCCCCTCACCTTCCCCGAGGACCTCCGACCTGCCCCTTCGAAGCCTGTCACGGACAAGGGGTGTCTTCTGGGCAATGGAGACTTCTCGGGCCATTAAGTTGAGATCCAATCCTGGGGGCTCTGCACTCACCCACCTCGGACCTTCTGGAGAAGCTCAAGACGACCCGACCGACGCAGGCATTTGCTTCGGCAGGTCTTTTGCGGCAGCTACGTGACCTCAACGAAGCTCCACAGCTGGGGCTACCAGGTCTCACCGGTGCGCAGCCTGTGCAAGCTTGCCCCAGACACAGCCTGGTACCGCGCATGGGAATGCATCGCCCAGGACCAGGAGAGGGGAGAGTATATCGGCGAGGATTTAAGAAACGACGCCCTGGCAGCAGGTCCCCGCGACCCTTTGTTTGCCAGGCTGTGGATGTCTCCTCCGACACCCAGGGCCAACCCCAACATGGACGAGGAAATGCAATTCCTGGACGCTTCGGGCAACACGAACCCCTTTGTTTTTGAGTGCGACGACGAAACGTTTTTCGATGAAAGTTGTTTCGGACCGAGGTTCTTGGGATGAGGAGGGGCCCGCGCAGGCTGGGCAGCTATCGCTACCGACCCCGAAGGCGTTTTCAAACGGGCCATCCTTGGCAATGTAATACGTTTCCTGCCACAGACGTCTGGTCTAGGCGAACATTTTGCAATGCTTCGAGGTCTCATGCAGGCAAGGACCAACACGAAAATGTTCGCGGCGAAACCCTCGTGAAGCGGCCCTCTTAAAGGGCGGCCCTCATGCTGGCAAGGACCCTCATGAACATGTTCGTGGACTGCGCGGCCCTCTTGAAGGGCCACGGCCTCCCGTACTCCGTACTCGACGGGTCCTCCTCCTCTGCCTATATCTGGAGAATGGTCCACGAAGGGAACTCCCCCCAGCTGTGCCTAGCCAAGGTCAAGGCCCACACCAAGAGCTCCGAGGGCCTCTCTGACCTCGAAAAGCTAGCTAAACGTGGCAAGCAACATCCTGGCGGATGAGTCTGCCAAACGCGGAGAGGGTATGATTCCTGAGGCCCAGACTAATGAAGTGAATGTGCCCCTTGAATATGATAAACGGCTCAATGTGGCCAAGAATAGGTGTGGAATGCTCGAGCTGTGGCCAGGATCCGAGGAGCTCCTTGGCGACCTCGCGAGAGCCCCCAGAACCCGTACCCCACGGACCCTGAACCTTGGGGTCCTTCACCAACTTTTGGCGGCAGTGCGTTACTTGCGCTGGGACTTTCAAAGACCCCCTCTTGCAGCAGCAGTGCATGTGGCCAATGAACTCCGGGTCTTCCTGCCCTGAAAGAACGCACGGGGCCCGGCAAGGCCCATGTCCTTCGTGTGGGCCGCTCCCTTACAACTGGGATCGGGGTGGTTCTGTGTAAGAAGTGCGGAGCATACTGCCCTGGCACCCCCAGACGTCTCCTGGAGCCTGCTGATATTCAAGGCATAGCAAAGATTGCTGACGTCGGGCAAGCTCCCGTGGCCAAAGGGCCACCGAATTTCACCACCTTGGCCCCTCAATACGGGGGCGGCGGAGTGGTGGGGGGTGGGGCCACAACGACCCCAAGCCAACCCCATTTTCCCCACCCTCTTCGGTATTGATCGTTGGGGGTGCCGAGGCGGCGCAAAAGGAGGAGGAGGAGGATTAGGAGGATTAGGGAGGAGGATCGGATCGGATCGGATCGCCTGTGCGGGCACGCGCCCGGGCCCCTTAAGGGCGAGGCGGGTGAGGCCATGGCCTCGCATGAGAGGCAGCCCGCGTCGGAGGCTTGCTCAGGATAATGCGTACCTCACGAGTTGATGTTCCAATTGTTCCCACTCCTCTGTTGTAGCCCGATGTAGTGACGCAGTCTCGTTGAAGTCGTAATTAGTATCTGTGGCATGAACCTGTCGGAGAATCCCGTGGATGTCATCGTCCTTTCTGTAACCGCGAAGCCCAAGCCAAACACAAACGAGTTGAAGGAGGAGGAGGAGGAGGAGGATTGGGAGGAGCGATGAGAAGCGAGGAGGAGGAGGATTCGGAGGAGGAGGATTCGGAGGAGGAGGATTCGGAGGAGGAGGAGGATCGGGAGGAGGAGGAGGATCGGGAGGGGGAGGCGGCGGGGCCGGCCCTCCTCGGCGTCCCTCTGGTCCCTCTGCTGCTTCTTCTCCTTCTTCCTCTTGTCCCCCTTGTGGCGCTTCTCGAAGTCCGCGCTGCGGCTCCTGAGCCCCGCCGGCCGCAGCCGGCAGCAGAGCCGGGCAGGCCCGGGGCGGGGCGGGGGGCTCGGGCCCTGCCGGCGGCCCTCAGGGGGGGGGGGGGAAGCAGGTGCTGCAGGTGCTGCAGGGGGCAGGGAGAAGAGCCAGGGGGGAGGGAGGACGCCAGGGGGGGAGGGAGAAAGTCGGAGGTGGACAGAACCCCCTTTAGCAAAACGTGGTTGAGTGAAAACGACTTCGGGCCCAAACCTAGCGGGCGCAAGCTTGGAAACTGACGGCCGCGGCGCCCTCTCGAGCTGACTTTTCGCGATGCCGTCTTTTTTACGCAACGTCGGATCTCAGGAGAGGAGGGAGACCAGGAGAGAAGGAAGGAGAGGAGAACGGGGGAGGCGGGGCAGAACGAGGAGCGACGAGAGATGTGAGCCGACGGTTGGGAAATGACAACGACTGAACAGGGAGGATGGAATAGGGATGGATTATGACAGCGCGCGCGCGTGAACGAGGGCGTTTCTTCTCGTGCCGAAGCAGGTGTGCGAAAGAGGCATGCGCAAGAGATTCCGCACAAGGGCATCAACCCAAGCACTACCCTGTGTTTACACCAGTTCTGAACAACGCATGTGCCGAACGCATGGGTCGCTACGACGCTGTGACTCGGCCAGACCGTGTGCAACAGAGTCAGCTGGACCGGCAAGCGAGGGCTGAGCAGCGGGAAAAAAACTGTTTTTTGACGAGCCCGCACGGGCGACCAGCGCACTCGCCAGCGCCCGGAGGTGGCGCCCGACTCAGTCGGTGGATGGAAGGTGGAGGGGGCGGAGGAGACGCATGACGAGAATGAGGACCATGGAGGGAAAGGAGGACCAAGGGGAGTAGGAGAAGGAGGACGACGAAGACGCAGAGAAGCAGGATAATCAGGATGGGAAGGAGAAGAAAGCGGAGCTGGATGACGCGGAGGAGGCGAACAGGAAGGATTAGGAGGTTTCAGGGGGAGGGGGTTGACGACGAGGACGAGGCGTCGCAGGACGGAGGAGGAGAAAGATCAGGGCGATCAGGGGGAGGTAAGGATGGGGAAGGAGGGAACTTGATAAAGAGCTGGCATTTGAGGGGAACGAGGTGCGACCACTGGGGCAGCCAGCCGATGCTCGCATCCCGCACATGTCCGACATTGCGCTCGCCCCTCCCATCCTCCTCGTCGTCCTCGTCCTTCTCCTGCTCCTCCTTCTCCTCCCGACCCCGCACCCTCCCAGACTGGGCCGTGTCGTGGCTCTCGCCGGCTGTTTGGAGATCCTCCGAAAAACGGGTTAGAAAGGCCCCCGAAACGAGCTCCGAGGGCGCCAGACTGCCCAAGAGCACCCTGTGACGCCCAAGGAGCGCCCAAGAGCCCCCGAGAGGCCCTGAAGACGCTCCCAAGAGGCCTCCAAGAAGCCCCCGAGACGGCCTCAGAGGGCTCCAAAAATTGCCCAAGGGATCCCAAAGGGACCCGCTGGCCAAAACGGCCCCAGGACAGCCCCATGAGAGTTCCTCAAAAAGCCCAGACAAGCTTTCCGAAACTCTGACGACCTCGCGGTGATCAAAATGTCCGCCAAAAGCTTCCCTGGCACGAAGGCGGACTGGCCGCGAACAGCTCGATGCTTACGTGTGGTTATGTGTGCGTGTGTGTCCGTGCGTTTGCGTGCGCCTGTGCGTTGGCGAGTGCGCCTGCGTGTGCGTGTGCAAGTGGGTATGCGTGTGCAGGTGTGTTTGCGTGTGTTGTTGGTTGACTGTGTCTGTCTTTATTTGTATATGTGTGTGCACTTGTGTGTGTGCTCGTGTAGTTGTGTGATTGTGAGTGTTTGCATTTGTGTGAGCGCACCTATGTGTGTGATTGTGTGTGTACTCGTTTGTTTGTTGTTGCGTGTGCATTTGTGTGATCGTGCGTGTGTGCTGGTGTGTTTGTGTGGCTACGTGTGCTGGTATCGACAATGCCCGCAAACCTCGATCCTCGACGTCCTGAGACCCTGATCCTCTGCCTCCCTGGGCTCCGGGATGCCGCGCGCCTCTTGGACTCCCCGTAGCCATGGCCGGACATCGTGCGCGCCCACGCGGATGCCTCTCGCGTTTTCCCAAGCGGTGGCAGCAAGAAACTGGGAGGACCTGTTCGTCGTCGTCGTCGTCGAAGTTCGAGGATCGAGGAGGCATCGAGGGTCGAAGAGGGATCAAGAAGGGATCCAGAATCGAGGAGGGATCGAGGAGGGTCCTCGTCGCCACGGCTGGATCCACCTTCAAATCCACGCCAGAATGAACCCCGGGAACTGTCCGCGGGCCGACGTTGAGGGCCCTGCATCAAGAACCTCCTCCCGACCTTGATCTGCCGTCGTTCCTCCTTCTCCTCAAGTGATGCCTACCGTAAGTTCGTGTCGGTCCGCTCCGATTACATGTGATTCACGTCAAGACGTGACTCAACGACAGCGTTCGAAAGAGAGAGAGAGAGAGATGCAAAAAAAAACACAGCGCAACAAACTGAACATCCACATGCTGCACTCAACGGAAAAAACCGCGCCAATGCCTATTGTGACGACTCTGCAACTCTCAAAGCAAAAGATCTGCGCATGTTGAGCTTCAGGCCAGCCACATATAGAGGCTGGCAAATCATGTCCAGTTTGGATTTGCATACTCCGAGTTTCTTCATAAGCGTTGGAGGGGCGTCACCCCCGCCGACAGCCCCACAACGATCCCCGTCGCGGGCAGCCACCGCGCGCCGACGACGCTCCGACCCCCGTCGCGGCGCGACGACGAGGCGAGGTTGACCCCGTCGGGGGGGTACCCCCCCACGCTTATTAAGAAACCCAGAGTAAGTGTGCGTCGAAAGGACGAGGGAGGTCGAACTGCCAGCCACGGATTAGTAGACGGCCCCAAGGACTGCATGATACGTCCAAGGAATTCTGGAACATCTGGCGGCCCTCGCTTCTGGAGCCCGTGCGGGACAGGAAATCTGGGAAATCCTGGAAACCTCAGGGCCCATTGAACATATCCTCCTCCTCCTCCTCCGATGATCTCATGCTCCTCCGACCGACTGTGGCTCAAGCCAGCGCCACGGGCATTCCTGCTCCTCCTCATCCACTTCGGGCTCAAGGGCCCGGCAGGCCAAAGATGGGGGAACAAACCATGACACCAAACATAAAAACTCTGAGGTCCGTGAAAATTTCTCGGAACGGCACTGGGGACCCCTTGGCGGCGCCTCCGGCGCCGCCCCTGGCGCGCTCCGCACGCCATGGAGGGGGTCCAGCGCCGATCCGAGAAATCCGCGCGGACCTCCGAGTTTGTATGCTTATGTCATCGTTAGTTCCCCTACGAGGAGGAAACTACTATGCTGAACGTGCCGGACATGACCAGACGCCATCCTGGCAGCAGGCCGCTCGAGTCGCGTCGAGGCGTGGCGACAAGGGCCCAGCCCCCGAGGGCACACAGGTCTCGAGCAGAGCTAAGCGAGCACGCTGACATCCAAGGAGAAGTGGGAATGACACACAACACGGCGGGCGATCTGGAGCCGTTTCGGGCTCCAGAACCCCAAACAATTGGAGGAAGGCGGTCGTTGACAGATGGTTGGTTCCCCCACAAGCTTTTACCGTGCTGTCCAGAGACCTGCGCGGATCTTTAAGGACGCCCAGAAGGTCAGGATCGGTCCCGCTCAAAGCCCACGCATCGCGATGGGGTCGGAGAGCTCCAACCTTGATCATCTGCGGCGCCCTGGTTCTTTTCTCCACGCCCGGTGTTTCCCTGTTTGAACGCTACCCTTACTCGCGGACCTATCGAAACGCTTGCAAGATCGAACATGGAATCGAACTCGAACCCCGTTCTTGCCTCTGCGGGTGCACGAGGACACCCTTGCCATTTTGGTTTCGGAACACCTTGGTCCTCGGATTGCTGATCGGGACAATGCGTGTGCCCCCTGAAGACTCTCGGCGAGCCTCAGCTGATGAAGACAAACTGAGGTCTAGCTGCTATCGATACGTTCAGAGCTGTTCGAGAGCTCTGCAAAGTAAAGTAGTGTGAAGCGACATCACGCCCGAACACATCGAACCGGCACCCCAGAGCAAGCCTGGCAGGCTGCTACCTTCTGCTGCGCCACAGCATCAAAAGGGCACCTTCCTTCCCGAAGCCCGGCTCTGGCGGAGGAGGCACATTCGAAGTAGGAAGGGCGAGAGGGCAAGATGGAGATGAGGGGGTGAGAGTGGAAGCGGGAAGGGGAGGATGGTAACATAGGGTCATTGGGCGATGGCGGGCTGAGAAGAGAGTCAAGGGGCGAGAAGCGGGATTGGAAGGGAAGGCGAGGCGTCGGGGATGGAGAGGGGAAAGGCAAGGCCCCCCTCGCACAGCCTGCAGGGATGTCCTTCGAGGAAGCCGCGTCTGCATGAGAACGATAAGCTTTTAGATGGGAATGCGCAAAGAAGAGAAGGCCGAAACGCAAGACTAAAACGCCGCTACTGACGACAACAACAACAATCAATTGAACCGCATGCGCGATGTCTCCACATGAAGCATGCGACCATCATGATAACCGTCCCCATTATGGGGGACTCTTGTTCTATAGCGGGGTCCGTTATTCCCATTCCCAGATCTCCCGCGCAATGAGGTATTGCAAACACCTCCCCCGAGGAACGTCAACATATCCCGCCTCGAAAACGCATGCCCGCGCCTTGCTGCGCCGATGCGAGACCGCCAGTGGAGCCCCAGCCAAGGGTGAAGCACAAGGACGTATCGAGCGACACGTTTGCCTTGGTGGGGATGGGGGCTGTCGGCGGCGAGGCAAGGATCTGGCCCTGAATAGAAAGGGAGGATGTCTCGAGCAGGGTCGCTGTTGTTGCTGGGGGCGGCGCCAATGCTGGGGAGAATAGGGCGCCAGTCCAGCGTAAAACAAAACAAAGTCTCGAGAGGGAACGCTGGTTTTGTTGGGACGGCGGCTTTCGGAGGCGAGGAAGAGCACCGCCTTGAGTAAGAAAGGGAGGAGGTCTCGAGCGGGAGCCGTGGTTTGGTCGGGACGGGGGCTGTCGGCGGCGAGGAACAGCACCGTCCTGAGGAAGAAGGGACGAAGCCTCGAGCGGAAGCGTTGTTCTTGCTGACAGCGGAGTCACTTTAAAAGAGAATGGGGCGCCAGTCCAGCGTTAAAAGGGAGGACGTCTCGGGCGGGAACGCTGGTTTTGTCGGGACTGCGGTTTCCGACGGCGAGGAGGAGCACCGCCTTGAGTAAGAAAGGGGGGAGGTCTCGAGCGGGAGCCGTGGTTTGGTCGGGACGGGGGCTGTCGGCGGCGAGGAACAGCACCGTCAGGGAGGAAGCCTCGAGCGGACGCGTTGTTCTTGCTGGGAGCGGCGCACATTCAAAAGAGAGTAGGGCGCCAGTCCAGCGTAAAACGGGAGGACGTCTCGGGCGGGAGCGCTGGCTGTGTCGGGACGGCGGTTTTCGGCGGCGAGGAGGAGCACCGCCTTGAGTAAAAAGGGAAGGGGTCTCGAGAGGGTGCGTTGTTGTTGCTGAGGGCGGCGCCGATGAGAGAACGACTAGCGCGCCAAGCCAAGGTAACATGGAGGAAGTCTCGAGCGGGAGCGCTGGTTTTGTTGGGACGGCGGCTTTCGGCGGCGAGGAGGAGCACCAGCCCAGGGAGGAAGTCTCGAGCGGGAGCGTTGTTGTTGTTGGGGGGGCAAGTTTTGGCGCCCCCCCAAAATGCTCGAGCGCGAATGGAATGAATTGAAGACTTGTCGCTCTTATCTGACCGCGGGGCCAGTCAACACGTATATCCTAAGCCCTCGATGCCCGCCCGCTTCGTCTTCCACCGTGCCCCCCCTTGGGGGGGATACCTTTTTCTTACCTGCAAAGTGTACGTCGCGCGGCCCCTAAGGCAGGGGAAAGAGAGGACGACTCGAAGGAAGGAACAAGGAGGGGAGGATAGAGCACGAGAGAGAGTGGCAGGAGGGGGGCTAAGAACAGAAAACACGTGGCAGAACCAAACGGGCAGATAAGGCGGGTAGACCCTAACGGGCGGGTCGGGAAGGCGGGCCCAGGTGGCCATGTCGAGCAGGCGGGTTGCTGAAGCGTGCGTCCTGCATGAATCGCAAGGAATTCTCGAGCGATAACGCGATTCCCAAATTGAATCGTTAGGAAATCCATAGCGAGAACGTGATTCTTGAGTGTCGAGGGCGCGGCGTCTGAATAAATGGCGGGGAAGTCCCACGCGAGACCGCGCGATGCCTGTATAAATTGGACGGACGTCCCGCGCGATAGCCTGATTTCTCAGTAAAGTGTGAAATAGCGGGCGGGAGCCGTTGTTGCTGCTGTTTTTGCTGTTGTAACCTGGGGGCCAGGGGCGCAGTTTGAGGCCCAAGACTGTCTCTGATGAAAAACAAGGCGAGGGCCCCCGGAGGGGCACCTCGATTTGAAAAACAACTTGCACCAGGCAGAGGGGGATCAACCATAATTATTCTCCCGAAGTGAGAATTCAACAACAACACCAACCACACCAACAACCCCTACAACAACTACAACAACAGCAGCAGCAACAACAACAACAACTACTACTACAACAACAACAACAACAACCGCATAACAGAACACCACAGCGCACGAAGGTCTGGGCCGCCAATCACTGTGGTGAAACGTTCGGGAGACACAAGCTCAGCGGGGCAACCTCGACCTGGAATCGGCGACACATCGCCGATAGATCGGCGCCGGGCCCCCCGGTAGCTCTCAAGGCGGGGTGGGCTATCGTGCCCCGGTCAGCAATCCATAGGAGACTGGTGGTCACTGCACTCCATCTCAGCCTGTCACCCCCTGGTGCTGCCCCCGACCCCATACCGCCACAGGGCGCGCGGCGGGAACTCGGAACCAGCGGTGGCGGTGGGGAAGGGCCAGGCGCTCCGCCCTTTTTGAGCCAAGCGCGGCGGTCAGGCGTGCGCCGTCCTGCCACTCGTGAAGAGGCCCGCTGCGAGAGCGGCGCGGACTGCCTCACTCCAACCCCCACCCCAACTCCTCTGGCTCCAACTCCTCTGGCTCCTCCTCCTCTAGCTCCTCCTCCTCCTCCTCCTCCTCCTCCTCCTCGTCCTCCTCCTCCTCCTCCTCCTCTGCCTCCTCCTCCTCCTCTTCCTTCTCCTCCTCTTCAGCTAGCTCCTCCTCCTCCTCCTTCTCCTCCTCCTCCTCCTCCTCATGATCACACTCCTACTCCAGCGCGTCCTTCTCCTCCTGCAACTACCCCAGCTCCTCCTCCTCCTCCTCCTCCTGGGAACTGGGATCTGGGAACGTTGCACTGGGCTGGGCGTCGCGTTGACATCTTTCGCGCTGCCAGCGGGATCGGTGTGGGGGGTCCCGCAACACGCGCGGTTCCCAATTGGTCGAGTCGGTGGCTGTCGCATACTTGGCTGGTGTGGGCATCTGCTCCCGTCTTGTAGCTCATGTGGTCATCGCTGAGAAAGTACTCCTCGCCCTCCTCATGGCCGTCGCTGGCGGACGTGATGTCGGAGCACAGGTTTGGGTATCGTGCGTCGAACAAGTAGGCCTCCTTGCCCGTTGGGATGTGGCCGCCGGTGATCATGCTCCGGGTCTTGGCGGGCCGTGAGTGAGACAAGTCGTCCAGCAGTGATGTGGGGAAGTAGTATCGTTCGAGTAGTAGTCGCCGATGGTGCTGGCTCCTCTTCCTGATGCCTGTCGTGAGTACGAGCCCTCGGGTGAAAAGGTCGGCAGTATGGATGCTGGCGTGGTTGTCACTGCTGTCCGCCTTGGGCTTGTGGTTTCCGCCTTGCGGAGGGGGAGCCTGCTGAGACCCGTTGGGCGATCAGTGTTGATGTCTGGTAGTCCATCCTCTTGAGGGTGGTAGGTCCGTGGGTCAGAAGGGTCAGGTCCTGGGCCCCCGTGGGTCGTGCGGGCCGTCTTGGTCGCTCGTTCCACCTCCTCCTCCTCCTCCTCCTCCTGGTGGGTCGCGCCTCTGGCGATGCCGCTCTTGCATGCCGTCGTCGCGAAGGGTGCTGGTCCTCCGTTCGAGTTGTACCGCAGGCTGCCTGTGATGTAGCTGAGGATCTCATCGCAGCCGCGTGGGGTGTAGTCGTGTGGGGGGTTCGACTCGTGGGTGTGGTCGGTGGTTGGGTATGCCATTATGCTGCACTATATGTGAATGATATACTGCGTTAGCACCTTCGGGTTCGCCGTCATGATGGGTTGGGCAGGTGGATTGCTAATATGTTTGCCCTGGTTGTTGCGTATTGCGCCAATGAGGTAGTTCATGATCTGATCGTGCCCGTCTCGCCTATCTGGGTCATGAGCTTCGTCATACATGGAGTCCAGGTTGATGACGGTAGCCAGGCTGTCATTGATGATATTGTGCGTGTGCAGCTCGAAGAGCTGGGTAATCTTGGCGTAGGAAATGCTGCTGATGGAGTCGACCAGTCGGTTGATCGCATCGCGCTGGATGTCCGCTGCGATTGCTCCTGAGCGGATCCCAAAGGGTGGCTCCTCCACTGGTGTCTGGGCTCCTTCGTTTACTGTGATCATGCTCCCTGTGGTGGCCTGCTTTGAAGTGGGGGCTTGTATGGGACGTGGGAGTTGCCATGCTTAGGTACGTCCTGTGGGGGGAGTCGGCCGTCATGGGATGGTGGCACCGGCTTTGGTGGCGATTTGGAAGGTACCGCTTGGGGCGTGGGTCTGACGCTGTTGCAGTCGTTGACCCTTGGTCCTGGCCGCCTGTCGTCAGTCAGTTGGCTCTGAGTGTCGGGTTGTGGCGTAGGGTGGTCTGCGCCTGCTGGTGCAGTCCTTTCGTACCTGGAGGGGTTTTGGATGGTACGTCTTGGAATAACAGGCTGTCGGGAGGAGGTGCCTTCCAGAAGTTGCTTCTGAGCGCCTGTGCTGCCTGCGGGCTGGTGACCGTCAACGTCATGAGATGAGGCCGGGGGGGCGTCATTATGTGTTGTGGCTTGTTGCTTGGTGTCCGTCAACGTCATGATTGTAGCTGTTGCTTGGGCTGGGTCGTCTATCATGAGAATGGTCAAATTGTCAATGTCCTGCTTGACTTGTTCTGACTGCTCTGTGGACTCTGGGGCCCCCAATGCCGCACCTGGCCGATAGCTTAGGTGTGCAAAGTCAGAGCCATAATTTAATCATTGTTGCGTGTGTCTGTGTGGCTTTTGTGTATTTTTGTTTTTTTATGGTTTGTGTTTTTTTGTGTTTTTTTTTGTGCGGGAGGAATCTGCCGCGGTCGATCGCCCAGGAGGGTTCGACTGCCGCCCCGGCGCGGATCGCCCCCGCCAAGGTTCCCTTAAAAGGGGGAGCTTAGGCGCGGGCTTTTCCCGCAGGCGCCCCCGCTCGCCTGGGAGGGCGCGGGGGGTCCTGGATCGCCTGGGGGGGGGGTCCAGGACGGGCCGACTCGCCCTGGCCGGGGTCGGTCCGAGCGGTGGAATCGCCCGGGGGGGTCTTCGCCACTCAGTGCCTGCACGAGTCGCCCGGGGTGGTCTCGCGCGGAAACAGCCCTCGCGCATCGCCCAAGGGGGCCCCGCGGGGGCGAGGTAGCCCGGGGGGGCGCCTGGGAGGACAATGCACGGCGCGAAAGGTTCCCGCAAATCTTTCGCGGGACTCTCGCGAATTCGTCGCGGGGGGCCCGGGCTCTCGCGAATTTTTAGCGGGAGGCGCAACGGTCTGGACAGTCGCGCAGGGGGGGGGGGCGAAGAAGAGAGGAGGGGAAGTCCGATGCCAAAGCCTCGAGGGCCACCTCCGGAGCCAAGCGAATGACGGACAATTGGAGCGGGGAGCGGCTAAGGATAGAGAAGGGGGGCGAAGGATAAGAGCCGGAGGGGAGCGCGAGCGGCGCACCGAGGAGCAGAAGCGGAGAGAGAGGTAGTTCTCCGGTTGATCACGCCAAGAGAAGGGCGAGGTTGATGACTAAATTCAGGCTCTGACTTTGCACACGTAAGATAGCTGTCTGGGCTGACGGTAGAGTGGTCTTGCAGATGGGCGTCGTCGTGGTTCTGCCTCGGCTGCGGTGCTGTTGCCGTCTGTATCGCGTTGATGACCCTTCTGATACCTTCGTAACTCATCGAATTCTCGGATTGGATGCTCATGATGTGGCTGATGAGGGTAGCACTCACTTGGTCAGTGTCGACGAAGTCGTAGAGTTGGCGACTGATGAGGTTCTTGACGGTATTCATGATATCGTCGAGCAATATCTTGAAGACATTGTCCTGTTTGTACCTGTCGATGTGCATGTCCAGGGCTGGAATGTCGACGTAGACAACTCGCTCTGGTGGTTCCTCCTCCTCCTCCTCCATCTTCCTCCCTCTTCCTCCGATTCCGCCTCTCCGAAGCCTTTGGTTCAAGGCGGTTTCTGTCTATCCATGTCTCGCGGCGAGGCCGGTGGAAGAACAATGACTGCGGCTCGCTGCATGGTCACCCGCGAGGCGGCGAAGCAGCCCGAGGCCGCTGTGGCAGGTCTGTCGCTGTGGCCCGTTTGCCGTGCCAGGCAAGCCGCACCCACAGGGGCGATGGTGAGGCGGCCACGTGGCGGCCGAGCAGGCCGTGCGGCTGGCAGCCGCGGAGGGCTCCATCGTGCAGGTGGCCGACCGCACCGTCGTTGCCGAGCACACCTCGGGACTGGCGCTGGCTGCGCCTGTGCTGGAATCCGGCTTGGCAAAGGCGCACCGGGCGCCCAGCCAGGGGCAGACGCCGAGGGAGGCTGTGCAGCAAAAGATGCCCGATGACTCGTTCGTGTCCTGGGCTTGCGCGGCCTTCTCGACGGAGAGCCTGGCGTTAGTTCGGGCATGTCCTCCTACAGGCGGAATTGGGAGGAAACGTGAAAAACATATATTTGTGTGCTTTCTTCCTATAGAGGGACATGCCCGACTTCAACCTGGCGGCAAACGGCACGGGACGCCCGATGGTAGCTCCAGCCACAGGGCGACATGCGGAACCCTGGCCTGGGCCAGGACTGACGCCGGGCCCATTGCGCCTGTCGCCGTGGCGCCAGCATCGCCGCCGTGCAGCAGACGGCTCTCCGGGCGGCAGCGACAGAAAAGAAAACGTGGAAAGCGGAGAAACGGAGAGCCTCGGCCGCGAACAGATTTGGAGTCCTGAAGATGGGCGCCAAGACCAAAACAGGGGGTTGCCTCCACCAGGGGAAGGTGATCCTAGATTTTGGCGCTGGTGTTAATACTTCGGCCATCTGGGTAGCACGAACATTACCACCATCACCGAAACCATGATCATCTGCCCTCGGGGGAGGCACACCGCCGATATTGGTGCTGGTGTCAACCTCTGGGCCTCCGACAGATTCAACGGGCTGCACCGCCAAAAGAGATGGCCCGCGAGCGCGCAGAGGCAGCGGCGGCGAGGCCGAGCCCCGCGCCTGGCCTGGCACCGCGGCCGGCACCCCCGCTGATGCCGTGGCCTCCGCCGACGTCCAGTCCACCTCCCCAGCGCCCCACGGCCCCGTGGACAGCTGCTTGCTCTTCTGCAGGCGGGAGGAGCTGGATGGAGAGGTCGCGTGCGACTGCGAGAAAAGGCCCGACGCCCTCCCCTCCAGCAAGCTTGGGCGCTCTTTGCGTCCGGAGGGGCATCGCGCCCACCGCCAAGACCAGCTACGATGTGGCCCTAGAGGTGGAGCTGGAGGTGGAGGCGAATGCCGAGCCCGACGCCCGTTCCGACCTGGAGGGCGCCGGCGACGACAAGGACACATACGAGTTAGAGCTGAACAGCAACGCGGGGGCTCTTGGAGTCTCAGCGGAAGGTGCGCTGCCACCGGAAGCATTCGTTGAAGACTGCATCCAGCCAGCCCGGGCGAGACCAGAGTCGGCCGCGGCAATGCCCAGCGCAGGCCAAGCGAACGAAAGCATGAGACATCACACGCTCAATCCTCTGCCCGACGCGGCCGATTCTGTCCGCGTATCCTGCCCGAGGCAGCCCCAGGAAGAATCGCAATGAGAGTGACCCTGGGATCCAGCACGCGCTAACTTGGGTTACATGTCCGTGGATCTGGCACTTGAGCGCAGGGAGAAATCAATCCTCCCGAACCCTTGTAGGTAATACAGCTAATCGGGACCCACTGCTAATCCCCGCGTCTGAATCCATGTTTGCGCTTCCTCGAATGCACGGGAACTCTCTCCTCCTCCTCCTCCTCCTCGTTTTCCTCCTCTTCCTTGCCTCTTCCCGCGAATACAGGATGGCGCACCAAGGGAAGAGGAGAAACGGAACGGAACAGAAAGATTGCAATGCCCTGCGCTGCCGTGAAACATAAAATGCTGGATCATCGCGTTGCCGTCTTTGGGGGAATAGCTTGCGACCCCAAGGGCGGAAGTTTTCAATAACCACAGATGGCGGGTGGAGGAAGAGGAGGAGGAGGAGGAGGAAGAGGAGGAGGAGGAGGAGGAAGAGAAACAGTGCCTACCCCGAGATAGTCCACATAGCGAAAAGCTGAGTTCGAACATGTGCGACCCATCGCGCGCGTCAACAGAAAACACATCGTGAGTTCAAAGTCTCCTAGTGTGAAAACCCAACATGTTAATCGCTCGGGCACCGCTGCTTAACGAAGGTAGGATCAGCAACAGCAGCAGTAGCAGCAGCAACACCAAGCATGCGGACAGGAATGGGGAGGAGAAATCGCATGGGCGATCCAGAAACCACTGCCCCCCCCAGGACGCCGCGAGATGCCTCCAGGATGTCTCTCCTGAACGCCTCGAAGGCAGGGTCGTCAGAGTCGAAGGGATGCTCCGACACCATTCCCTGATCCTGCGGGGGCTCCCAAACGAGGACGAGGACGAGGAGGGAGGAGGGCGACGAGGGGGAGGAGGACGATGGGAGGACGAAGAGGCCGAGGACAAAGACGAGGACGAAAAAACAAACAACGAGGACGAGGACGAAGGTAAGGAAGACGAGCGCGAGGACGAGGAGCGCGTTTCTTTATGTTCGGCGATGACGGGCGTCATGGGGGGGGGAGGGCGGGGGGGGGGGTATGACGTGACGCTCCCCCCCCGCCGTGTGGCTCTGGCACCACAGCCGCGCCCGCGCGCACGACGCGACGAGCGACGAGCGACGAGCGACGACGACAACGACGCGAGCAACACGTAACTGGCGATCTGCCCATTGCGCCTGTGTACACCACAACGCTCGCGTGCACCACACCGCGCGTGCGCACCACAGCGCCTGCGTACACCGCAACAGCCGTGTGCAACGCACCGCCCGTGTATACCACACTACTTGGGAGCACTACAGCGCTGGTGTACATACGCCGCAGCAGCCATGTGCAACACAACGCCTGTGTACACCACTGTGCTTGCGTGCACCGCGGCGCCTGTGCACGCCACAGCGCCTGTCTACACCACAGCATCCGCGTGCAACGCAGCGCTGGTGTACACCACAGTGCCTGCGTGCATAGGACAGGTAGAAGGAGCATGTACGTCAGGATCTGCTGCGGACAACTAAACGCCACGCCAGGAAAGTTCTGATAATCGAATGCGACGTTTTTCCCTCCTCCTCCTCCTCCTCCTCCTCCTCCTCTAACTCCTCCTCCTCCTCTAACTCCTCTTCTTCCTCCTCCTCCTCCTCCTCCTCCTCCTCCTCCTCCTCCTCCTTCTCATAATTTTCCTGCTTCTTACCCCCTGTCGTGCGGTTTGGCGTTACAACGCACGTGCGCATCTCAGCGTGCACCGCAGAATGGTCGATTGAATCGGTCCACTAGGTTCTCGGAGGGCCAATTTTGCTGAAGCCTCTTGGACGCAAATGTGAGTTTGGGTGATGCGGGCGGATTCGGGGGGATTCGTAGATTCCAGCGGCGCTCCTTCGTCCATGAAGATTTGTTTTCCGTTGTTTGCTCTGGAACCCACCCGCGCTCCATTTTGTCACAAGGATTCCTTCTGGAATTTTATACACAACAATGCTGCTGTGTTGCACACGGCTGATGTGGTGCACGCACGCGCCGTCGCGTACACAGGCACTGCAATGAACGCAAGCATTGTTGTGTACAACGGTGCTGTGTTGCGCACGGCTGATGTAGTGTAGGGAGGCGCTGTGATGTACACAGGAGCTGCTGTGCCCGCAAGCGCGGTGGCACAAACGAGCGCTGTGTTGCACGCGGCTGCTGTGGTGTACGCCGGCGGCGTGGTGTACACAGGCGCACTGGTGCACGCGGGCACTGTGATGTACACAGGCGTTGTGGTGCATATCGCCACCTACATGTTCGTGCTACCCGTCCTCCGTCATTCCTACGCATTCCCAGACGCCGCCGGCGCAAAACGCGACGTCATCGACCCCCTCCCCTCCCAGATGATTGCCGTCATCGGCCCGGACTTCAAAACAGGTTCCAGCCGCGTCCGCGCGCACGACGACGATGAGCGACGAGCGATGAACCACGAGCGACGACGACGGACGACGGCAACGACGACGACGACGACGACGACGACGACGACGCCTGCGGACCAGACACCTATGCGGATTCCTACGCGGACACCTACGCGGATCCCAATGCGCACGGCGGCAGTGCCCGGAGCGCACTGGGGGGGGGGCTGGGGGGGGAGCGTTACGTCATGGGGGGGGGGATCGGGAGCCATGACGCCCGTCATGCCCTAAGCAATAAAGAAACGGGCTCGAGGAACACGAGGATAACCAGGAGGGGGACGCAAAGCAGAGGAAAGGCTGGGCAAGGGAGGGGCGAGGAGATCCGTCGACCCTTCGGCGCGTGGAAGACGCTGCCGCTGTCGTCGTCGTCGTCGTCGTCGCCGGTCCCAAGGAGATTGAGGCACAACTTGCAGCTATGCCAACGGCCTCCCGCGCCTGAAGGTGCCTGCGCCCTCTTGACAAGCGGTGCGGCCCCCCCCGCGCAGCCCAGCCTGTCGAATCCAGATTGACTCGCGGGGCGCCAGGGAGGCAGGCGCCCCCGGGAGCGGGAAGATTGGGCGAAAGCGCGCGCGCCGTCTGCGACGTCAAAGCACAAGGCGCCAACGCCTGCGACGCGCGCGACCCCGAAGCGCGCCGCGGTCCGCGCCGACCGGATCCTCGCGGCGCGCCTCGACGGAGCTGCGCTTATGGCGGTGCAACAAGAGCAGCAGCGCACGCGCGCCCCTCGCTGGGCGGCCCGCAGCGGGGAAAAAGCAAGGCCCCGCCCACTCGCAAGCATTTCTCGCGGGGCCGCGCGCCGCGAGGCGCAGGAGAGCGCCCTCGCGATGGCGATATGCGCCCACCACAAACTACAGCTGCGCCAACGGCCGCCCGCGCCTGA